TAACTAATATGGACAAAAAGAAGCTAAAATAAGACGAACACCATTTATAATATAAAAATTGTGTCAACAAGCACATGCAACAAAACTAAAGTAAGGGATCAAATGTATGCCACCAACACTCCAACGGTATAAAAAAAACAAAACAAAACAAAACACATCATCACGGCTAATTCTGTTTTTCATTAATTTGAACTTCATTCCCTTGATCTTTAAATATGATCATTCCTTAAATGTGGTAGAGGAAATAATAGGGCAAGGGACTTAGGGTAAAGGAAAGGGTATAGATTAGGGAAAATAATATTGTATAGCCGCTTTCAAAATAGTAGCGGAATATATATACATTCTGTATGTTATATTAATCTACACAAATAGGTAATTACTCATTTAACAAGTGTCTACAGTCTAGGGGTGTGCATTCGATTTATCGATTCGATTTTGAGCCTTATCGATAATTACTTATCGATTATCGATTTGTACATATGCTTATTGTTATCGTTTCAATAAGGTTTCGATTTTTTCGATTTCGATTTCGATAACAAATAATCGATTCGATTTATCGATAAGCCGATTCGAACGCACACCCCTGCACTCAACAAGAGAAAAATGATAAGATACTCTCAGGAAAAAGGTTACGAATAAATAAAGAGTTAAAAGTCAATCTATATTGTATTATAAGCAACTGGAGCTGAAAAGACGAAAAGTACTTCAAGTAAAACGTAATGGCAACTCCAGAAGAAAAACACAAAGGGAGGAGCCTTGGAAGTAAACTATGTTGAACGGGGAAGCAAAAATTTAGCTACAGGAAGGACGTTTAGACAGGTTGAGGACTAGAATTAGGGATATAATAGACATGTGTGATTGCTGCAGATGGAGTAGTTTAACACCTTAATTGATCTAGTTCAAGCAGCTAGGTGCTTCCCCAGAGAATCTTCAAAATGTTAAAAGTTTTTTTGAGTTGTAGAATTGTAGTAAGTAACCTTTACCTAACATGGGTTGTTATCAGTGGCGAAGCTAGAAATATTTTTAAGGGTGTTCAAACTTGAAAGAAGTAGAAAAAAAATTCCGACAAAGGGTGTTCAATATATGCTTTATATATCTAAAATCAATATTTTACTTATATACACAGTGTAATTTTTCGGCGAAACCACCCTTTGCTAAAGGTGGCTTCGCCCATGGTTGTTATCTCTTTTCTTTTACATCTTTGGTGCTAACCTACATGCTATATAACTCTACATTCAAAATTAGCTTCTTTATTTATAACTGTTTGATTTCATCATGTATGTAATAGTAGTAGAGCAAGTATGGCTGTGAAATGGAAATAGCTCGGCGGTAAATATCATTCCTAAGCTGTTAGAAAAGAATGTGTCACCTGCATATATTAGATGTTAACTAGAGAATCCTTATGCTGGAAAAGGAACTTGTGATATAGGGTATTAAAAGGCTATGACTTTGTACTTATCAAAATTGGGAATCAACATATAAACTACAGATACAAATTTAAGCTAAAATAGTAGACATTTGGTTTCACCCCTAGAGATATCAAGCTAAAATTAGACAAACCAAGAAGAAGAGTACAGGAAAACAACAACGACCCAGTAAAATCCCACAAAAAGTAGGGTCTGGGGAGTTTTGTGGGGTCTGGGGAGGATAGTGTGTACGTTGAACTTACCCCTTCCCGATAGGGCAGAGAGTTTGTTCCCAATAGACCCTCGGCAATGAGACAAACCAAGAAGAAGAGTACAGGAAAACAACAACAACGAAGAAGAGTACAGGAAAAATGAAATGAGAAATCCGAAAAGCTAGCAACAATCAACCTTACCATAAAAGAAAAAACAACAAGAGAGAGAGAGAGAGAGAGTGAGTTATTTGCCATATTTCTTTCTCAAACGATCCTTGACAAAGTCATTCCTAGCCTTAGTCCGAGCTTGTTGAGGGGCTATATTCTTATAAGAATAGTGTACCCCAAAAGCAAAGAGAGCACCACCACCAACAAAGCACGCCATTGTTGCACAAAACTTGGCAGGGGATGAGGGGTAGCAGAATACCATCTCGGGTTCGGTGATGTTGTTCAAAAATGGTAACACTAATCTATATGAGTTTATACAAAGAATCACACGAAATATCAGAGAACAAAGGGCAATCTTGAATAATGGATTCGACTTTAAGAATTGAACAGAGGAACCTCTGATAGTGATAAAATGCTCACAAGACGGAGATCTGGGAGAACAAGTGACGATTCTTCTTCTGTGTCGGATCATCATGAGCACCCGGGTTTTTTGGGCTTTTCGGGTAGGCCCGACAACCCAAAGTTGGTCTGGATCATAGAGGCATAGCCCAGATCAGACAAGCGCAGCCCATTTCGTACAACTGCTATTCTGTTCTTTTCTTGAGTTTTTTTCCGGGGAGTGCGGAGTTCGAATAATTCATTCTTGGAAAAATGACACTTATAGCCACTGTAAAAATATATATATATATATATATATATATATATATATATATATATATATATATATATATATATATAAAATTTATATATCTTTTGTATATGTACATTCTATATATTATATACAATAATTATACACTTTTTCGGCTACCAGATGTAAATAGTTTCTGATGCAGGGAAAAAGTGATAATACCCCAATATTCTTGTAAAAATTGCACGAACCTGTAGCCGCTTTGTCTTTCTGTTTGCACCCGTACCCACTTTTTAAAAAATTTCAGCTTCCCTTTCTCCTCCCCTTCTCCTCTTCTTCTTCTTCTTCTTCTTCTTCAATACCACAGTTCTTGCTCTTCACTGTAGTTAGTGTTTGAGATAAGCCTTTACAAATAGAATATGAGATTGGAACTTGCTAGTTTCATGCTTTGCGGTAACTGAAGAAGATAGATTTTCTGGATTTAGCTTTGCACGATATGTAATCGTCAGATTTTCATTGACCATTCTAACAAATTTTAACGGAAAATAATATGTAGCTACTTAAACATGATATTTCAAGACTATCCGCCAAAAATTGCTAGATATTTTCATGTAATTCCTTTGACGAATGTACAAGAAACAGTACAAGAAACAAAGACAAAAACTTCAGCTCTAGAGCTGAAGTTTCCTAGTTACAACATAGAAACTTCAGCTCTAGAGCTGAAGTTTTTATTTTATAACTGGCAAACTTCAGCTGTAGAGCTGAAGTTTTCCGGTTACAAAGACAAAAACTTCAGCTCTAGAGCTGAAGTTTTCCAGTACAAAAGAAAAACTTCAGCTCTAGAGCTTAAGTTTTTATTTTATTACTGGAAAACTTAAGCTCTAGAGCTTAAGTTTTTATTTTATAACTGGAAAACTTAAGCTGGAAAACTGCTTAAGTTTTTATTTTATAACTGGAAAACTTAAGCTCTAGAGCTTAAGTTTTTATTTTATAACTGGAAAACTTAAGGTCTAGAGCTTAAGTTTTTCGGTTACAAAGACAAAAACTTCAGCTGAAGTTTTCCAGTACAAAAGAAAAACTTCAGCCCCGTGGGCTGAAGTTATGTGAAAAAGCGGGTACGCTTGCAATTTTTTTTGCAAAGCGGGCACAAGTTAAATGTGGCACAAAAAACGGGTATAGATGCAAATGCCCCAATATTCTTTGACTAAAAGTTACGAAAATTCTTTGCATGGATTCATTTTTTTTAATGTTTTAAAAGGCGGGGGCGTGAGGCGAGGCGTAAGCCCTGAGACATGGGGCGTAAGTCCCACAGATCTTTAAATTTTATTAATTTCGAGAATTTTAAGATAGTATAAAATAAAAAATAATATAAAAATTATATCAAAATCACAAAATTATAACAAATAATCTATTTAAAAATTTATAAATTATAATTTGATTATGAATAATACGAAAAGTATGACATATATCATAATATGCAAATTAGTTGCAACGTCGTTACAACTCAAACATCAAAAGTAATGTATTCGATATGAAATCTTATATGTATCTCTTAAGGAGTAATAAATCTTGAAAGAATTTCAACATTATAATTTGATATTTCACTTAAAATACTCCTTTTATTAATATGCTTTCTATTTGAAAGAGAATTTATATAAAAACATAATTCACAATTTAAATACGATTCTCTAGCATCATTTATTTTTAAGTTTCAACAAGTTAATAAACTGACACATAATTCATCATACAATATTATGATAACTAATTATTTGTAAATAGTTACTAGCTAATATTGAGATATTAAATTAATAAGTACTGTATCTTGTAAACGTGAAAAAAATAATATTTAGAAAAAAATTATAAAAAAATTATGGACTATTATATAGTAAAGACATAACAAAAGTTAATAAATAAATAATTTTGAAATAAAAAATTTATTTAAAATTTACTATCATAGCAGTCTTAGTGGATAACGTGCAATAATTTTTATTTTAATTATGACATAAAATACTCTCAACTTAATGATTTATGATTAAGAAAAAAGTAATTTTGAACAGTCAATGATTTGTTAAGAAAATTTGAGGATTTACAAGGTTAGTTACATGCAAATTGCATAAAGTTCTATTAGGCGAGTCCAGTACTCTGGACGTTGGGCGTTCCGGGGCGTAAGCCCCGATGGCCGAGGCATAAGTCTCACGGAACTAAGCCCCACACATAAGCCCAGTGGCGTTTTACGAATGCTCCGCCCCTGAGCGAGTCCCGGGCGTGTCTCAATTCTGCCTTTTAAAAAAAAGAATTTTTTTCTGCTTTCAGTGGTATTGAAACCTTCATAGAGTTGCAACCTTGGTAGCTTTAATTTCTTCATTATCTTTTTTCCCCCAACATTTTCGGTGAATAGACATAGTAACAGTGTCCCTTTTTGATCCCCTTATTCAATTTTTTTATGGTTATAAATTGTGAAAACCTCAATTTTTGCCAGAAATGGCCTTACAAGTTATAACCTCATGGTGGTTACAAGTTATATAAAGTTGTTAGCAGACATTAACAAATTTGAAAAATTATGTTTCTACATCATATACGCACGTCCTTCTCAACCAATTCTCTGCTCTTTCAAATAATCTGAACAGAGATATATACCACTCTACTGCAATTAGTATTCGTTGATCAGCAGCATATCAGAGAAAACAGAAAAAAAATATTTTTTTGTATGATTCGTAAAACAATGACCCATATACTAAAGCATTTACGGTTGTTGGTCTCCTTCCAAGTTTATACTATTCTTCAACATAGTTTTTGGAAATTACATAAGTTGTCTTATGCGCGCAGTCGGTGTCTTATATAGTTCTCCTGAAGCAGTAGGTGTAGGGGGGAACTTATGCAGTTCTCCTGAGAAAAGAGGTCCTATCGCTTCAAGTTGTGCAATTTCTTTCACAACTTGAGCTTTATCAGCCTCGAATTGTTCATCTTCTGCAAACAAACAAAACTCTGTAATTATATATACCATTCTGCAACATATATGATATCATCCAAGATATTGGTTGGTGAAGCAAATTCACTACCTTTATCAATCCTGAAACTTGCAAAGAAGCGCAAAAGCTTGCTTCTGTTGGCCACGAGTATGTTGACAATGTCAGAAGGTTTATTTCTATTGGCAACAAAAAGCTGTCACCAAAATATAAAGACAAGCACAAAGAAGTGAATAGGAGTCACACATGAGCGCTAGGTAAGTTAATAATCAAATGCATGAAGTGTAACCTTAAACACGTGGAACGCATCTAGCTGAATGTTCTTGCTAGACTCCTGAAACATGGAAAAGCCCACCAACAAAGTTAAAGAAGAGTAAGTGAGTAAATATAACAACAACGTCAAGCAAATGCGTCAAATCAATGTAATGAAAAAGTTACACTTGCCACTTGCAAAAAATCTTCCAAACGGACATGAACTAGTCAAATGAAGAGTTAATCTCATGATAGAAACCTATAACAAATACATCTTTTGTATGACGTATGTCAGCTACATTTTATGAGAATGATTTGCTTTCGTCACAGGGAAGTGTACTCCGTTATATCAGTTTTAATCTTCTAAAACATGAATCAAATGATCAAAGAAAGTTATTCCATCATTATCTCTATTGTTACCCAGAGAATTCGTATGATGTTGCGACTATTCAGAGGGAAAATAACTACAACTTGTGGCACGTCGGTATAATGACGTACCCTCAAAAGATTCATCAAAATCCTTAAATTATCCTTTGAGCTAACATAGCGTGTCATCACAGGAGAATTTGAGCGATCAAGCAAAATATCTCCCAAAAGCTGAAAAAATAGATAAAGTGTGTGTTAGGCAAGTGATTTATTTATAAGCATATTAAAACCTTTACCCTGATAAAATATAGCAGCACAATTACTTAATGGGTACAAAGTAAAAAGAAAATCATTGAAACTCCAGCTGAACCAACATCAGATCAAAATTGATTGTTTTAAAACGAGAATACAACTAAAAAGTCTTAATATCTATTTTACCTTGATAGCTTGTCTTCTGGTAATGTAGTTTGCTGATTCCAAAAGCTTTGCATTAAACTCGGTAAAGAACTATAACAAAAAAAATGGATAACATGTTACACTAGTATGTTGTAGGATGAAGTTGGCACTAATGAAGGTGAGAAACATAAACAAAACCATACAAGTGGAAAACTGAGGATCATAACATACCCAGTCATAATTTTCAAAGAGAAATTCGGCAATTGTGGACTTATGCCTGGTTATAAGCTCCTGCAGCAAGTTGCAAAAGAAAACAAAGATTCAAATTTGAGTAACAGTACGGATATTCAGTGGTTGACGGCAATACTTCATTGCTAACAGAAATAAACAGTACCAAAAATTTTGCTATAATAAAACTGGTGAAATAAGACGCCAAGATAGTCTTTTTTGTATTCAGCCAATGTTTAAGTCTATTTTACTTTCAAGAAAGTATGTGAATCCTCCATAAAATATAAAGCTATCTCATCTAATACTTAACTTGTGAGAGGGAAGAAATTAATTATTTTAATAATTCTCTTCAAGATGCCACAACTCCAAGTCAAATATTTTTCACAAAGGCCGAACGCACGGAGATTCATTTATTATGCTCCATTATCATGTTGATCATTGTTACCTCGTCAAGAAATCTAAGAAGTTAGGAACACTGGAGCTTTTTTGTGTTTATATATACGAAAAATTAACACTTTGAAAGATGTAGCTATTTCAAAATATTCATATAACTTCATCATAAATTAAAACATAGGGAGTATAATATTCTTAGCAGATCATGCACCAACGTTTAGCATCAGGTAGACCTGTAGGAAAGTGCACTACAATAGGACCAAATATCATAAAAAAAATAGAGATTAATGGAACATGTTGAAAGAGAGAAAAATAATAACCTTAAAGGTCGCTGTAGCATCTGCAGCGACATCAAATTCTGGGATTTGCATGTAGTCAAAGAACCTTTTCATATGCTCCGACCTCAACACATATCTGCAAATATTTTGACAAATTATGGGAAACTACCCATATACACTGATAAAACAAACAATATAAAATCAATCAGAGAATAATAGCACAGATTAAAAGAAAAGAAAGAAGTGCAAGTTGTTGGAAACAAAAAGGAAAGAACCACAAGTATTCATTGGAAAGTAACAAGGAATCTTGGAGTAATTAAAGATACGAAACAAAGCTAGTGATCAGAACAACTTTCAATTAAGATACTGGTAGTGTTTCCAAAGCTACTAACCTTGCAACAACTTGATGTCGAATACACTCCCTCAACATTGCTCCATAATGCAAAGCAAGACCAGGATCGTCATACCTATAACAACTGCAGTTAGAAGAAGAGTTTCCTTCTCCGTATTCAACTTCTTTCCCTAACATGTACCATGATTGAATAAGCTTAACTATAAACATCTAGATGATTCTCATAGATATACTAGGGTGACAAATAAAACCTTCCGTAAGGGAGACCATACACTAACTAAAGGTACTAAGTAGATATATATAATATATTTAAAATGTATTACTTTCGATAAATCGATCGTGCTTCAGTTAAAGATCAAAAGGAAGAGAGGCTTATTTAGATAAACAAAATCCGAACAAACTTGGAAAAGAAAAAGGAGAAACAATTAGGATTAGCTTACCCAGATACCAAATGATCCATAAGGTCCGGGTTGGCTTCCAAGTAATCAGAAGCAATCAAACGTGAATTAACTGGTTGCCTTTGCAAATTCGCAACAATACGCGTGGCATCTTTACGGGCCTAAGCAAAGAGTTATCATTTCCGTGACATGTCCCAGCAAGAGAACAAAGTAAAACGTCCTTTAACTAAAAACAATGGATAGCAGAAAGCCTAGAGTGTCTTAAAAAAGGGAGCCAATTATAGAGAAGTAAAATCTTGAAGCTTAGCTCGTAACAGTATTAATTGTAAACGTACTCACCTCCAAGTTCAATTTAGGAAGACAAAGAATGATGAGACGCAGTGCATTATCTCGAAGAAGTTCCTGAGTCAGTTGCGCACAGGCTTCAACAGCAGGTTCACATTCATTACTTCCATACAAGATTGATTTCATCTCATGTAAAAGAGAATCCAATTCTTGCATCTGAAAAACAAGTATTATGTATTATCAGAGATACAAAAATCTAAATTTTATGAAATAGCATGCAGTTGAAGGTTCTAATAACACAACCCATGTATACCTCTAACAAAGATTTAAATAGACGAACTAGTTCCCCCACTAAAAAGAAAACACAAACGAAAACTTTTACAATATTAGACATAATTCATATGAGACAAACTAGTTTACTGAAAGGTTGTTAGAAATTAACTTTAATATTGTTCTATTTCACAAACCCAAGATTATCTCCAATCAATCTACTCTAGTAATATTCATATAGCGTTATAATACTTGTAGGCATGGTGCCTTTGGATTTTGCATTCGATTTTCAAATTCTTTTTAAAAATTAAACATATTAAGAGGTCCCCACAAAATTATTTGTATTCTCATGACGGTGATGTCTGACCAACTCGGGCACACCTCTACCAACCAAACAAGCATGCAGGCCACAAACAAATTGCAATTCCCCATGACTTAACCAAATAAGAATTCTACAGGGAAAAAGTAAATGCATTTTAGAAGCAAAGGCACGTAACTTTCACGTACCTTATCAAAACGCTTAGGATCAACATTGTCTTCAAAAGAGTCAAGGGCGGCCAGTAGGAACGTCACCCGGCGAACAACATCAATAGGAGTCTTAGGCGGCTTAGTTTTGGATTTGAAGATGTATTTAACCCCGGTGGAACTTAATGCTTTAGTAAATAACTTCTTCAAATTATTTGAAGATCGTTTCACGGCCTTGTGGGATCCTTTTTCCCCTTTCTCTAATCCTGGGGTTTTATTGGCGGTGATTTGAGTCGCCAGCATCGGCATTATATTGTAATTTACAGGGCGGTAGAGATGATGGAGAATGGTTGATTTGAATGTGGAGATTCCACTTTTTTGCAAATTTGCAATGCCAAGGCCATTCACTCAAATCTAAAATATAATGTGCGAATAAAGAAGATTGCTTTTCCTAGTACGATTGGAATTTTTGGAAAATCGTCATCCAACAGGAAAAGGAAAAAGAAAAAGGATAAGTACTTATTTTGGAAAAGATACGAAAATCAGAATAACAAGAGAATTTGGGATTATGTGGGATTCCACATTCGACGTCAGCCACCGGAAAATTTCACCACCCTCCTCCTCCTCCTCCTCCGATAAACTTGTACTTCTGCATATATATGATACAAGTATATTCCTTTCTGCAACTTTTCTTTTTCTGTTTTTGCCTTTTTCTCTCTAATAAAATATTGCTATTTTTTCCCTTTTTTTTTGTGTTTTTTTTTCTCTCTCTAATAGAACATTGCTACTTTTTTCTACATGCCAATAAAATTAGTATACGTCAAAAATGAGATTCAATGTTCTCCGTTAAATTTGTTTTTTCTCTTTTTTTTGGGGTATTGCGCAGTTACTAGAAAATTACGATTCGGATTGTGGTATTTTAGCTTGTATATTGGGTGTTTATTTATACTAAATTATATTATACTAATCTAATATAATTAAGTAGTAAATTAAGGTAAAATTATTTATTAATTAATAAATAATTAAGTGTCAACATTAATGTATATAAGGTCACTTGTCAGTTGTCATGTAATCATCAAATTAGTATAAATATCACATGTGAGGTAATTTTTCGACTTTGAATGTCGTGGTAATACAAGATTTCTATTTTCTTAAGTATAAAAAGTTCAATATGCAATTTATGTTTCGGTTTGAATAATTTGTTAAAAACATATTCATTTATTTTTGTTGTAAATGTGTTACTAATAGTTTTTTTTTTTTTAAACTTTTGTTTAACCATCCGCATTTGACTAATCTGCATTCGAATTATGCAAGGCCTATTAAAGGGAAATTATTTTATGCTAGGAATTTCTCCTATGTTAAAGAGCTCGAACTCGAAATTTTTAATTAAAAGTTGAGGGATTCCATCCATTCCGCCATATTCCTAGATTATAAAATATCTATTGGTTACGATAAAAAGTAAAACGATTTGTTATCTTTTCACAAGTACTATTTTGCTCTTGATTAAATATCTTTTCACTTTTTTTTCTCTCTTTCCACTAGCACACATCTTTTTTTCTCTTTTCACTAGCACACATCTTTTGATTTACCATTATGGTTTACGAAAATCTTAGTTTTTAAGCTAATGACTATTTTCTCAGCTTCTATTTGTGATTAATTAGTATGATTACCTTGTTAGAGAATATTATTTTGGTTTCTCATTCTGTAATTTTATGGTAAAATTGACTCTACAAATATTAGTAGTAAATTTCTTTGATTTTGTACTTTACCCAAAAAGCTGAGGGTATGCTTTGGGAAACACATATCCAGATGAATGGTTATATAATGTTTCTGGTTTGGAATTCCTAAATGATTTTTGTTTAGTCTTATGATTGAAAAATCGAATTGAAAAACCATACCAGCCTTTACCATAGAGTTGATTAGGAAGACACGACACAGTGGTGGGGAGTCAGATCTGGCCAACCGTCTCACTCTGCTTTGAAGTGTTGCACGTAGGTAGTTTTTCATCAAGGAATTTGAATTTTACCATGGAGTTTGAAATTAATATTTTCAAAATTCAATCGAACTTCATTATAAAGATGGACCAAACAATTGCAACGTCTCTAAATGCACAATAGATTGTTTGTTCTGTTCTAACTGGGCAAGAATGCACAATAGATTCCATGGGAGAAGCCATAGTCATCTAATGGAATGATAAAAACTTTCTTCCATCTATTGCCTTGGTGCTTACTAAGCTTTTTAATCTTTCTCCATGCACTCCATTCTGTATACGGTCAAAATCGGGCCTACCCGATTTTACTATTTGATCGAGACAAGGGAGTTGTATCAGGGGTAGCCTCGTAATGAATTAGACCCGAGCTCGAAGACGAGGCATCGGATCTAAAGATCGAAGTGTCCGTTGGGACCAAGGCCAGTAACAATCGAGATTAAGTATGACTGACTTCGAGTAAAACGCAATAACAGAAAGGCGAGATACCTATAACCGGTCGAATATCACAACGGAAATCTCGAAACATATCAAATCAAGGGCGGTTATTTGTAGCCATTATGAGATATACTTCCGTAATTAGAATTGTTCCATAATTAGGATTCCTCTAGTATATAAAGGGGGGTCCCCATCATCTGTAAAGACCTTACATGGATGCATATCAAGGCCATATAATATCTCTTTCTTATGCTCATCAACTTACTGCTCTTTAACTGCTCTTACTTCACTACTCTCGAGGGTTCATCAGCTCGAAGGCATTGTCCAAGCATTGGTTTGTTTTACATTCTTGTCAATTCCCATCATTTATCTCTAAGTTAATCAATTGGTATTAAGTGAAATCACGTATCCTTAAAACCATATTACAAGTTTAATTATTACTCGATTTTTGGGTAAACATTGGCGCCCACCGTGGGGCTAAGGATATTAGTGATTACTTAATATTTTAACCTTCATAACACACACTGCTTTTACGCTTGTTCTTGTGAGTATTTTTTCAGGAATTGACATGTCGAACTCTTAGCAGCACCCACTCACACTGATACCGGCCTTGGTCTTCATGGCGAAAATGAACACGTAGTCGCCCCGGGAAACGGAGCGCCCCCAATCAATCCCGATGCACCACAAGCCATAGATCTGGTTGATGTCAGTTCTCGTGTCGCCATTCGTGGAGACTTAGGCGTCGACCCTGAAAATAGTGTCCGCAGAGACCCCCGGGCAGCCGATCAGAACGCACAAAATGGTGAAGAAGGCGGGATTAGCCTTCGAATGATATTTGAGATGTTACAAACTCAGCAGGCTGCAATAGCGCAACTCCAGAATCGAGCACCAAGCGGAATCGAACTCGATGCATCACAGGAAGTTGTTCATAAGGTCGAGCCTGTACATGCGAAATCGAACGATATTATTTCAGGAACTGACCCCGCTATCATGAAGATGCTCGAGGAGCTCACTAAACAGATAGAATCAGGTGAAAAGAAAATCGAGGCTAATGACAAAAAGGTCGAGACGTACAACTCACGGGTTGACCAAATACCGGGGGCACTCCCGATCCTAAAGGGTCTGGACTCGAAGAAGTTCGTGCAGAAGCCTTTTCCATAGAGTGCGGCTCCGAAGCCCATTCCTAAGAAGTTCCGTATGCCGGACATACCTAAGTACAACGGGACCAACGATCCTAATGAACACATCACTTCGTACACATGCGGAATAAATGGAAATGACTTAGAAGATGACGAGATTGAATCCGTTTTGTTGAAAAAATTTGGGGAAACCTTATCGAAGGGGGCAATGATATGGTACCACAATTTGCCGCCCAATTCCATCGATTCTTTCGCCATGCTCGCTGATTCGTTCGTAAAGTCACACGTTGGAGCAATAAAGGTCGCGACCAGGAAGTTGGACCTCTTCAAAGTGAGGCAAAAGGACAATGAAATGCTAAGGGAACTCGTATCTCGATTTCAGATGGAACGCATGGACCTACCCCCGGTTACCGACGATTGGACTGTCCAAGACTTTACTCAAGCTTTGAACGAGCGAAGTTCGGTGATATCACGTCAACTAAAGCAGAATTTGATTGAATATCCAGCAGTGACCTGGGCCGATGTGCATAATCGGTACCAATCAAAGATCAGAGTGGAGGATGATTAGTTTTGGGAGCCCCGTCCGGTTCCGTTTACCCAAATAGATTTGAAGGCAGGATTCAAAGACACATCGGCAGAGAGCCCCGATCGAAAAGAGATCGGTACCAATCATATAGCATAGATCGTAGAAATAACGGACCGGGGCGTAATCCCGTTCGAAATGATCGAAGGAATGATCGAGGTCAAAGTTCTCGAGGGCTCATGAGTAAGAGCGTCTTCGATAAACATGTCGAGCCTAAAGAAGGACCCCGGTTATCGGAATACAACTTCAACGTCGATGCTTCAGGTATTGTGTCGGCCATTGGACGAATCAAGGATACTAGGTGGCTCAGACCCCTACAGACCGATCTAGCTCAAAGGAATCCAAATCAAATGTGCAAGTACCATGGAACCCATGGTCACAGAACCGAAGACTGCAGAGAGTTAAGAGAGGAGGTAGCTCATTTTTTCAACAAGGGTCACCTTCGAGAGTTCTTGAGCGACCTAGCTAAAAATCACTTCAAAGACAGGGACGCAAATAGGAAAAACAAACAGGAAGAACCGAGCATGTGATTCATATGATCGTCGGTGGGGTCGATGTTCCTCAAGGCCCGATATTCAAACGCACCAAAGTGACAATCACAAGGGATAAACGTACTTGGGATTACTTACCAAAGGATACCTTATCTTTCAACGATAAGGATGCAGAAGGAATAGAACACCCTCACAACGACGCACTGGTAATATATATCCTTATGAATAAAATTCAAGTTAAATGTGTGTTGGTTGATCCAAGTAGCTCGGCGAATATTATTCAATCGAGGGTCGTAGAGCAGCTCGGCCTTCAAGATCAAGTCGTGCTTGCAACTCGAGTGCTCAACGGTTTCAACATGGCGAGTGAAACCACCAAAGGGGAAATCATGTTGCCAGTAAATGTGGCCGGAACTATCCAAGAAACGAAGTTCCATGTGATCGAAGGTGATATGAGGTACAATGCGCTGCTTGGAAGACCTTGGATCCATAATATGAGTGCAGTGCCTCCAACTCTTCATCAAGTCTTGAAATTTCCAACACCGGAAGGAGTCAAAACGGTATACGGCAAACAACCAGCAGCCAAAGAGATGTTTGTAATTGATGAAGTAATACCAGTATCGGCACTGACATCAACGAAGGGACCAGAATCAAAGGAAAATGTCACGCCCCAACCTTAGGAGGTGTGGCTGGCACCCGGTGCCGCACTGGCCCGAGCGAACCACTCTGTAACTCATTTATTCCTCTTGTAACTATCATGGGCCAACATGACCACAACGTAATGTACCACTGTGAGTGGAAAAAAATACTGTATCACTGAATCATTTTTCTTAAAACGTGAATACATATTGGCCGTCAAGGCCTCTGACATACTGTACGATCTGAATCTCTGTCTACAAAGCGTTTACGATTATTTGACATCAAATGGGACACGATACCGGCCTACCCATAAGTCTGTAGCAAAACCCTGACACAATGACTCATAGACTCTGCACTCCAAATAAGGTGGAGTCTTACCGATCCTTCGCTGAATGTTGACCTCGTCTACTATGAGGGCTCGTCAAACTGATTGTTTATACCTGCAGACATGAATGCAGCCTCCCCAACAAAAGGACGTCAGTACGAATAATGTACTGAGTATGTAAGGCAGAACTGAAACATAACAATAAGTCAACATTAATTAAAG